CGGAGAGAGATCTTCTCTACACACATATCTCAGCAAATAACCATGGCCAAGACAGTGATGGTATATATATATATATGATCCTGGTGATTTTTCAGAAGTTGATGCACACGCTTTTATTCAAGTTACTCATATGCGTAGGGGTGTTGTACAGAGTTTCCTATTTCATGTCGATCCATTTTGTTCACCTTCCAAATTTATGCCTTCACAAGATGCTAGTTGGCATGACTACGAAAGTTTAACTGATATTGTTTCACACTATAGTCACTGAATAAACTACCCAAGTCGAAACACAAAGCTTCGAGTATAAGCTACCTTAATCAAATGAATGTTTTTAGTAGCAAAGTTTGACTAGAGGATATCAAAGTCTTACTATTTGCTTGATACCAAATCAATTCTACAACAGTGTGAGTGGAATCATCCTGTTCCTCCAGAATACTATTTTGTGGTTGAAGATTAGAGAAAACCTAGGAATTTAAAAGTTCTGATGATAAGTGAAGGAGCTTCAGACGACACCAACTGTCATCCAGCGTTTAGGTCACTTCTGTTTGACTAGCAAACACATCTGCAGGATATCATTGGCATCCACCTATTCATATCAGAAAGTTAGTATATTGTAAATTGTATTTATCAATTCAACTGCGCTTGTGGAGCGAGTTATGTTGGTCGTTGCTCTAGAAACTTGATTTTTCGTGCTCGAGAACTTCTCCCACTATGGATAAGTAGAGGTGTAGTTAAAACTATTAACAGCTCGATATTAGACCGTCTGGTGCAAACTGGTCACAAAGTCAGCGTAGAAGAATCCTTCTCTATAATATACCTGGTGCCTAACAAACTACCAAAATCATCGAAGCACCGCTTGCTCCAAACAGCAGAGGCTATTGCAATTCGCCTCAAACAACCAGTGCTCTGTGTCCAAAAGAAACAAGTCCAGCCCCTACTACTGCCCTGGTCGGCCTACAGTAGAAACTATAAACTCATCAATTTATACTTTTATCTTTCATAATTCTTCTGAAATTCAACTTATTTTATGTTGATGCTGTTCAGCTGTAATTTATCAATATTACTGACTTGATGCTATTTAAACATTAATGTCGTTCATAAGACTAATTCATTCATTCATTATAATGTATATATAATTGTAGAACCTGATGATGAATTTATCGAAAAGAGTACTCTTTGTTCCGTGTCTATTCTTTTGAAAATTTTAATGGGCATTTTTAATCAGTATAAAGTGTCATGAAATTATGCTTGCCTTCTTGATTGCTGTCTATCCTATCAAGCAGATCACATAATAACGTGTGAATAATTTCGATTTCTCAAGGAAACTGTGGTAAAATTTCGCCTTGAGCAATGTCAGTTTCTGAATCGACAAATAATTGGCAAAATTCTGAATTTGCTTCAATCGAAAATTAATCTTTCGAACTTCTAGTGTCTGACTGTGGCTTCTAACCTACTTTTATAAAATGCCATATCAAATTTCTTTCTGTCATTGAACTAATAATTTTCAACTGTCTCAGTGTCTCTTTCTTTCCAATATTCTCACTGCCTTAGAATATCTCTTACAAATCAACAATAACGCTTTACGCCACATCACCAGTGGTATGAATACAGTTCAAATCATTTCAAGTAGTATAAATAATGACTAATTTTTACATATATATATTATCAAAACAAACAAATACTCCTAACGTTTTATGCATATGAACAATTGATTGAACCAAAATTCTGCCAACAAATTGTCTTGTTTCTCTTAAATTAATAAGTTTAAATTTATTTAATTCATTCTCAACGCAGGAATGAAATCTGGTGAGGATAAAGGTTAACGTGAGATATTTTTGCACATAGTATAACAAATGTCATAACAGGTATTCAAGTTGTGTAAAAACGTTGATATAACACCTATGAAACAGCCAAACACACAACATATGATGTGTTTACAACATTCTTCTAGGTAGATAATGCAAAATCAGGTACCTGTGGAAATTCACGTTGTAGTTGACTGCCTGAGTTCTACATATTCAAGTATACTGCGAAGAAAGCACTGCAATTTTGATATGCAGTAACTTATACTCTCGTCCAATCACAGTGCTTGAATATGCTTCGACTAGTAGAAATGTAGCTTGATTACTTTCAAAGGATTTGTCATAGCAAAATTTTATGCATTTCCTTAAGCTTTAGATGGAAAAAGTAATGTCATAAAAATAGTTTAAACGTCTTGAAATACTTTCGTCGTCGGAGTCAAATGACAATATATCTGTATATGTACCCTGTAGACAAACGTTATTCTTATACCAAAGAATTAAGTGTTGTAGATAACTGCAAATGTACTTTCTAAATATCAAAGTAATTTTGAAGTAGATATTTTTTGATCGTGCACAGATGTAGTACATAGTTTCATGTTATTTTTTAAAAAAAAAGCAATTTACTACTTCTTACTGCAAAAGTGATAAATTATTCACACTTTCCAGTACTTTAAAACCAGAGAACAAAAGCCTGTTGCGGAATACTAAAAATAAGAAAAGCAATTAACTCATCATATGAAACCGACTGATGAACTGCAGCAAAAGAAAAGTTTAAGTATGATGGTAATTTGTCGTAAAATTGTCGTAAAAAAAACAAGCTTGGAAGGGAAAAATTCATGTTTTTCGCTGTACACCTTTGAATATGGTAATATTTTAGAAACCATTAAGGAATAAAAATGCTTATAACAGAAAAAATTGTATTGAATTCACACACACACAACTTGTACCTCTGTAAATTTAATGAGAAACATGGTTGGTAGATTGAAATCCACTCTCAGAATTTAGGAAAAAGCTGGAGAGATCAGTATATATTTAACGTATGTTTGCATTTATGATTCAACTGCAGAATAACTGAAGTAGTTGTCCAGCAAAAACCTGGTAGACCCTAGATATGAAAGCATAATTTATATGTTTGCTACGAGTTTAATTTACACAGTAAAGCATTTGTAGGCATCATAAAACATCAAATTTCAATCGGTAACATAGTACAGTTAACGCTAAATAGTTGGAGGTACTTGGCAGCCCCGCATCTAAGTTTCCTGTTTGCTAGCACTTTTCAGCAAAACGTATCTGCAACTTTGATGAAATTGAAAATTCTTTTGAGATTTGAACCCACATCATCCAAGGGTGCGATCAGAAAATTTAGCACGAGGGTTAGTCATCTAGCTTGTTGGCTAAATTACTAACTTGAGTGATAGAATGCTGTCTACAGCAGCACTAATGCCTGATCGATTGACACTAGTTACACCCTAGTGAGCAATCAAAGCATTGTTATTATTATTGTCTTAGACTTGTAGTGAAACGTAAGTCTTCAGCAACACACCTCCGTTTCGTTCTGTTCTCTGCAGCTTTCCTTAGCTGGACTCGCGACTACCCATAATCTATCATCTCTTCATACAATATCCTTTATGTCATCCTCAAACGAACACCAACATAGTAGTTTCCCACTCATGTTCCACTCCCTGGGCTGCAGTGCGTAAGATGGCACTTAACGATCTTTGTCTGACCTATCTCCATTACCTTCTGGTTCTTGGTTGGTTAGCTGTCAGCGTTCCTTGCTGCTATTCCTTTCTGGTCATCTGATCATCAGCATTCAGCCTGCGAAGGTAGCTGTTGATAAAAAAGCTGAAGCCTGTTGGAAGTGCTCCTGGTAACGCAACAAGTCTTTGCACCATATAGAGACATCAGTTTTCAAAGTCAAAGTGTAATATACTTTATTTCGGAATTCAGATTCTTCGTCTTATCCTTACTTCTCGTTATCAGCTGTTTTAAAATGAATTACTTCTAGCAGTTTTAATCAATTTATTTTCAGTTTTATGGTTTGAACAATTAATCTGTTAAATCTGGAATTAGTTTTGTCCTCTGATCTTGTTGATTTCATTGCAAAGTTTTCGTCGTCCTTCTGAACAACATCTTTAGCACAATGTTTAGCATAAAATGAACTGATTTAAATTCTCCATGAATGATAGAATTGTGTCTCCTGGCAACCATCTTCGTGACTGGTAGTCGATTTACATCTGCATTGATCATTTCTTATTGACTTCAAATTTGAACTTTCTTGTCAGTGGCATGGCGGTAGAATGCTCATTGATCACGCATGTGGTCCGGGGCTCGGTCTCCGGCCGACGCACTCCTTTACCTCACTAAGCCAGTTTTATGAATGGTAAAGAGGGAAGGTTGGGCATGAGGCTAGCAACCGCATCCCGTGAAAAAAAAACACCACTGCTACCGAAACTTGAAACCTTTAGCTTGAACCCCTATATTCCATTGGTAACGTAAAGGAATTTTTAAAAAAGTTGGTAAATTCGGTCTGTTTTGATTGGACACTAGTAACTAGTGTGATGTGTCTAGTCCTTTCTTTAGTGCAGACTGAATTCTATCAGTCAGGTTCGCAATGTAGCAACCATCCCAGGTAGCTCGCCATCACGGTGCACATTGATTTGATGATATTAGATGGTTGGAGGCAATCAGCAGGAAGCCTTGGACCTAGGTTTCTTGCTAGTTGGCACTCCTGTAGATAAGCCTTGCTGACGAGTGTCAAGTAGTACGAAACCTAGGTCTAAGGCTTCCTGCCGATTGCCTCTAACTATCTAATATCATCAAATTCGGTTTATACTGATATGTTTTTTAATCGCTGATTCACTTGTGTACCGCACTTCTAGGAACTCTCTAACACTTTTGGTTTTTCCTCTATTTAAAATTTCGATGTTATCATAATCAAACTGATGTCCACAATTATCCACATGCATTGATATGAAACAGGAATATATACTATGTCTTTTTACAGCCAATTTGTGTTTTTGGACTCTGATTCGAAGGGGGCGCTCACTTTGACCAATGCAATGTTTGTTACAATTCATACAATTTATTTTATCTTTTTTTCTGTTGGATCTTTCGGTCAATCTGTTAAATATTATATCAAATAGAATGAATAATGTTGAAAAAGTGACACACAAAAGCTCTAATGATTCTACTCACTAATGCTTGTACACCTAAATCAATTTGAAGCCATTCTGAGGAGGACTTGAACTTTGCACACCAAGCTAAACCATTTTGCCGAAATAAACGAGCATTTCTTTCTTCACATCCTTTTACCCAGCTCGTTGGATAAGTTGATGATGCAGTGATCTGCCAATCAGCGATAGTGCCTGAAATCATTCCCAATGGATCATCATTTTCGCACTCTTTGTGCAGAACTAAAATTGAGAGGAAAGATGGAATAATAACTGAATGTTTTAAGATAAGCATTCTATAACAGAACATGCATTTAAATGACAACCCATTTAATTTAATATAAATTTAAGATATCTCAAGTGTTTTCTCTATGCATACATGGATTTTAGGTTCGTCCTTGAATGATGACTCAATTTGGAACTCTGAAAGCGACTTAGATAGTTTGTCATATAATCCTTAAAAATATTGGCCCAATCTATGCCTAGTTGCAGAAACATTTTCGCAATTATAAATTATTATAAGTTATTATTATAAATTATGAATACTAGGACTAGATACATTACACTAGTTACTGACTAGTGTGCAATCAAAAATATCCAATACAGTCCTACAGGAGGTCAGTAGCGAGCCTGAATAGCTCAGTGGTAACGTCTCTGACTGCAGCACTGGGTGACGCGGGTTTGAATCTCAGAAGGGACATCAGTTCCTTCAAGGTTGCAGATACGCCTTGCTGAAGAGTGCCAACTAGCACGAAACCTAGGTCCAAGGCTTCCTGTGGCCGATTGCCTCCAACCATCTAATACCAACAATTCACAGTGCACCGTAATGGCGAGCCACCTAGCATGGTGGCCACATTGCAAACATGACTGATAGAATTCATTCCGCACCGAAGATAGGACTAGTCACATTACACTAGTTACTGACTAGTGTGCAATCAAAACTAAATTAAATACTCTTTTGGCTGATTATAAACTGTTCGTAAATACGAATGCCCATGATTCTAACTACAGTTAACTGTGAATGTTGCTCCCTTAAGTCCAACTAGCAATTTGACAATAAATTTCCAATCTACACAGTTCAAAAAAAGATTTTACCACACCTTCCTTTTTGGAAACAAAATTATTCAGGTCACAATATGTGATCTGCTTGATACGATAAAACGTAATCAAGAAACGAAGCATGAATGCATAGGACTGTATAACACAGACTGACTGTGATGAATAGTTTCATATCACTGACATCAACAAGTAGTGCCTGCTAACTAGATCAAAGTGATTTAAACATTGGAGAGCCGTTCCACTCGTCTAGTGCTGAGCTCATCAGCAGTGTACCTGGTGGTTTGGCTTAGCTCAGAGAGCTGGATCAGTTCAAAGCATCCAATTGTTTGCCCTATGATTTCTTTACGACTTATTTTCACATTAAGTGATTTGCTAATGTCTCTATTTTCGAGTATTGGTTTTGTAGGGGTTTTGTTCGAAAGCATGGAGGATTTCATCATGAGCTGGCATCAGTTAGAGAACCACTGGAAAACCTGGGAGTACTGGACAACTGTTTCGTCCTAGTTTGGGACTCTTCATTAGTACGCACACACCGGGATTCGAACCCAGGTCCTTCTGGTTACAAGGTGAGCTCGTAGACCATTGAGCCACTGAGACCCGATCCAATGGTCTACGAGCTCGCCATGTAACCAGAAGGTCCTGGATTCGAATCCCGGTGGGTGCGTACTGTGAAGAGTCCCAAACTAGGACGAAACAGTTGTCCAGTACTCTCAGGTTTTCCAGTGGTTCTCTAACTGATGTCAGCTCATGATGAAATCCTCCATGCAATGTCTCTATTGTCAGTAAGTCAATTATATTTTTACTCAGAAATAAATAACAGTTTTCTTGAACAAAAGCAGCATTACTTGCATTGAAGGATAGCGCAACATTTAGGAAGTCACCGACTAACTTTGTCACGGATTCAACAGTGAAAATACACTGTATGGTAACAATTTAGTCTAAACCGCAGATTGCATACAGTAAAATATTTGTTTTCTGGTGAGCTAAATACTTGACTACTGTTCCAGATGTGAAGTGAAAAAACAGTGAATTAGTAACAGCGTTTCTTTTTCTTAGGACGCGTTCATTAAACATTCATGTTATTATTGCTTTTAGAAAGCAAACTATTCTGCGATGCAGAAATATATTGAAAATAAGACAAGAATACGTATGAAATGATTATTGTTTCTGGTCTTAAAGTGCTCTCTAGAAGAACTTCCACGAATATTTTCATCGAATGATAACTGATATCCCATGTACAAGAGGTGACTCTGACGGCCTAAGTGACCTGATGACTAACAGTCTAACATTTAAAACTATGAGAACATTATCCTTCATTGGAAATGCAGGTATATCTGGTTGATGAGTCTCAAACAGGAAAAAGTGTGAATTCTGGATTCAACTACTAGCGGGTCTGTGTCACAGTGGTTAGGACTCTCGCCGACCATGCACATGGTCTGAGGTTCGATGCCCTGTCGACGCACACCTGTTATCAATGATTGATCTGCTACATTTGGGCTACCGATATCACATGTCGAAAACATTGTGTGGAATCAAGCTCTAATAAAAATAAGTAAATAGTAACCATTCACAAAACGACACCATGGATATTCTCTATAGTTTGAACTTCAGCTCGTTTACTTCAAATAAAATCACTTCCAACAGACGTGTTTCGAAACACTGACTGCAAATACTCCTTGGAAATACAAAGCGGATAGCAACTTATAAAAAATGCAAACGGTATTGAAGACGTTCACATAGTATCATCAACAGATCAGTCGTAGATTTCTTTGTTTGCTAGTTCATAATACTATTTTTAAGCGCATCTTATAGTTTGCTTTTTATCGAACCCCGTTGGGTGCGTACTGTGAGGAGTCCCAAACTGGGACGAAACAGCTGTCCAGTACTCCCAGGTTTTCCAGTGGTTCTCTAACTGATGTCAGCTCATGATGAAATCCTCCATTCAATAATAATGGTAATAGCTGTACCCTTAACAGGACTTTTGGTACAAATATGGAATTTTCTGCATGCAGATGCAATATTGCATCTAATTTTCTCATTACAGGGGTAATAATTAAAATAGGACATTTACACTGATGATATTGTTCAATAGGGAAATGAATATAAAATTAATTTAGGTGAAAATATTAACAGCAATGTAACGGTGAAAACAAAGAAACGGTGCCACTTACTTAGACTTTTTCGGTGAGTTGATAATTTCTTGCTTTACACTTTTCTCATCACATAAAATGTGTGCCTGCTAAATAAGGTATTGCAGAGTTTGTGTACTTAGCCTTCAGAGTATATAGTCTTTTGTGATTGCTTCTAGTTCTACCTGATGAGTTTCAAAGAGAGAGTTGTGTATAGAGGGAATACTCAGTCAGAGTCGGACGAGATAATATTTGTTAATTTCTTTCTTGCAGCAGTCCACGTATCCTACTGCAAGAATATTAACGAGTTGGTTTAGTAACATCCCACTCGCCCTACTGATGGCCTCCAGTGCTTTTCACAGTATAACAAAGTCTTCCCTAAGTAGTCCGGAAAAGATTAAGGGGGAGTAGTAAAAATGGATAGACAGAATGCAAGAATTAACAAACGGTAACAGTAGAGACGGAATGATACCAGATCGTCTTGACTTTCTTACGTAAAACTTCAAACGAAACATCTTTCTGGAAACTAACATGATGTGGGAAGACCAGAAAAGATCAGAGGAAATACACAGACCGACTTAGTTTCAACTTCTGGGGCATCCATAATAGTGGAACCATGAGAACCTACCAATTCATGCAAATCACACTTGCGTCTGAAAGCGAAATTAACAACCTGACATTTGGACGGATTAAGCTTAAGACCATTTGACCATTGCTCACATATCACTAGAATGGCTGAAGTATTTTCCGGACTTCATATATTTAATATACAGGAAAATAAATATCTATGAAGTCTTGTGCAAACCACTTTGTCTGTAATTTGCAAACATCTTTTTACATAGTGTTCATTTAACAATTTACATGATAATATGTCAAAAATAGCCTATTTTTACATCGATCACACTATTTCTTCAATTGTCAAACCTTCATTCAAAATTTACACATCCGAAATCCAGTTGAATATTATTGATACACATGCCTTGAGAGCAAACCACGGAAAAAATTGATAAAAATTGTATTATGACTACTTAGTTTGTACTTTCTTTGATTTTAACAATGTAAATCGCTTAATAATCGTCATGGTACTAAATTTTTGAAAATATGTGAGTGCGGAGATTTTTACTTTGTCTATAAATTGTATTATTACCGTTTAATTTTGTCATCTTAGATTCCGAATGGAAAATACGGCTTCGATAGTACATCTCCATTTCATCCTACTCTTTGCAGTCCTCTTCAACTGGCTCAAGAATTACCCATTAGCTTGCATTTTCTCCGAACAAGATCTTTTGCGTTTTACCTTCAAACTTGTTGTTTCCCAGCCAGGTTCCACTTGAGGACCTGCTGCATAATTCAACTCAGTAGTCTCAATATGTATCCAGTTCACCTCCCTTTCCATCGGTACATTTTATTGAATGGCAGGTCCCTGGTTAGATCGCTGACTGAAAGCGTTCCTTTGTATTTATCCTTCTTGGTCAGCCATTCAATCTTCACTATACAGCGAAAGCAACTGTCGATAAAAGTCTGCATCAGTCTGTTGGAAATGCCTACGGTGACTAACGTGACAAGTCTCTGAACCATACAGCAAAACTAACTCGATATAACATCTTGAAAATCCGCATACGAGCGACACAATCAGGCTTTATTTTGTGTGAAATAATATCCAAAGTGAATTAATGTTTGGACAGGATGACTTTTAATAAACAACTTCTAGTATATGAAGTCAGATACCACTGTAAAGTGCTGGATAACAAAACTGAACTATGACACATACGTACTTTATCACTGCATCAAAACATGTGGAAATTTATGCAGACATTTTACACTTTGCGATAATGCTTGAATCTAAGCTGAAATCTTAGTTACTAATAGAATTAGCTAACTTAAGGACAGCAGTTCCGCACTTAACCTACAAGCATATGAAATTCAGTAACTGTCTACCTACTTTAGTCTACATGCACTCCACTCTGTAATCTAAATGAGAATTATTGATTAAAGATGCCAATTAAAAAAGTTAATAGACTGATTAACGAAGAAAAAGTATTCTTTTCGAAAACTGCCTCATCAGGTTCCTCAGATATATGTCTATAACAATCAAAGAATTATTGTTTTTAACAACAGAACTGTTTTATAAATAACCTCGATCGGGGAATATTCTTTGATTACGCTTGAAAAGCATCTCTGAGTGGTACTATGCATTGAAATGTAACCAAAAAATCAATATCGGATAAACTAGGCGAATTAATACGGAATTTATGAATTTATAGTTTCCACAGTAGGCCAGTTTAGCAATAGTCACTAAACCTTTTTCCTTTGCACTCGGAGCTCCGTTTATCTTAAGGGAATCACAATTGTCTTTTCTGTCTGGAAAGTTCGGTATTAGGAAGTTTCCGCCAGTTTATTCGGTGTTGGACAGATGAAAGAAAAAGACTCTTCAAAAATAGCTTTGTGCCCTGTTTGGATGAGACAGTCTAATGTAGAAATAAGAACAAATTAGTTCAGCGAAGAGTCTCTTTTCGGCGAATTCATCCACTTAGCTGTACAGTCGCAAATATATATACAATTACTTTGTGTGTGTGTGTGTACATTAGGTTTGTCAAAATCAAAATAACAGTTAGTGTGGGTTGTTGATTATATCATCAAAATAATGAAGAAGTTAAAATGTGTGATTAATAATCAAAGTTGTAACTAAGTGGGGTGAAGATTGGTAAGATGTGAGTAGGGTTACGTAATATAGACGTGTTTAGAAAGATTAGATGCTAGTGAAGGTGTTTGGAGACAATTATGAAAATAAACTAGATAATAGGTGAAAAGATTGAATGGGTTAGTTACCGTAAAGGTAACAACGGAGCAATAAGGAGCGCCATTATTGAGCACATACTCAACACTGGTCATTCGATTTGCAAGGAGAAGTCGTTCAAAGTCATCTATAAAGTCAAAAGAAGCCTTCCGAAATCGACAAGCTTCCGTATACTTTGTACTGCTGAAGCCTTAGCGATTTGGATGGAAAAGCCTGAGTTATGCACACAGAAGAAACTTCTCCACCCCCTCCTACTACCGTGGGTTTAATTCCAAATTTATTTGTCATCAACATTTTGTTATCAAAATTTTTTGCAATTTTTCGTATAACAATTTTTAGTAACTAACCCATTCAATCTTTTCACCTATTATCTAGTTTATTTTCATAATTGTCTCCAAACACCTTCACTAGCATCTAATCTTTCTAAACACGTCTATATTACGTAACCCTACTCACATCTTACCAATCTTCACCCCACTTAGTTACAACTTTGATTATTAATCACACATTTTAACTTCTTCATTATTTTGATGATATAATCAACAACCCACACTAACTGTTATTTTGATTTTGACAAACCTAATGTACACACACACACACAAAGTAATTGTATATATATTTGCGACTGTACAGCTAAGTGGATGAATTCGCCGAAAAGAGACTCTTCGCTGAACTAATTTGTTCTTATTTCAATGTCTTAAGGTAGAAATGTTGATGGGTTTTAACTACACCCTTGCCTAGCCACACTGATAGCCGTTAAGCTATCACGAAGAATTAAGTTCCTAGAGCGACATTTTATTCCTTTTCGCTCCCAGTGGAACATAGGGCTTCTAGCTAGAGCTTTGAAGTTTCTGTGGCAGTGGTATTTTTCACGAGATGACGTTACTAGCCTCACGCCAAACCTTCCCTCTTTACTGGGCTTATTACCGGTTAAGCGACGTAAAGGTATTCCTTGGTTGGGCATGGAACCCCGGACCACTTGCGTGGTTGACCAGTGTTCTATCACTAAGCCACCAGTGCTAGAGCTTTGTAGGGTGATGGTCAACATAAAACTTTACATATATATATTAATCATCGTTGTTGTAAGTAACAATAATTATTCAGTTATTATGGACATATAACTGTATAACCTGATGAAGAAGTAGTTCTCGAAAAGAATATTCTTTGTTCACTAATCAGCCTTCTAAAAATAAATTATTTACAGTAGAGTTTCGTATTCGTAGATTTCACAAGACATTAGTTTGTTAAATGTTGACCGTTGACTCACCTGAGTACGATTCCTGAACATGTTCATTGAGACCATGTATTATCGCTAATTCACACACGAAGAGAATTGAAATAATATGTAGCAATAAGCAACAATTAAATGGCGACCACTTCAAACGATGATATAAACAGAATTGTTTAGTCATGCTTCGTTCCTTATGTGTTGATTTGTTTTTAATCAAAAGATGAAATCACTATGATTTATTATATGATACAGTTAAGTAATTTCTTTATCAATCGTTCGTATATCCTTTTAATTTAGTAAGTAATATGTAATGTGTTGTATTTTAACAGATACTCTACCAAATTCCATATCTTATTAAGAGTTGACAGTTGTATTGTATGCATAACGTGAAACTGTAAATAGTCAATCGCCTAGGGCAGGTAATTTGTCTAAATATTCAAGTTGTGTTTCTCTATGTTTTATTTTATATTAGTGTTTTATGAGAGTAGGCATTGGTCACCACCATACACTGGATTGTATTTCCCACTTACATACCCACTTGTGATAAATACATACATACAATGGCACACACACATATAGACAGACGCAATAATCATATTCACATATGTGTGTGATCAAACAAACAAAATCACAATAGAATTATAGCACAGAAAACTTCTGTGCTCCTTAGGTATTTTGTTTTTTCAGTGCACAGCACTAGTGTAAAATCATCATCATTTACGCCTACACACAATCAAGTGAATTCAACCAGTAGGTTTGTAGTAAAGTAGAGAACTATTTTGTTTTACACAACTCTATATATTCTACGAATTCATACACTGTCATCTTTATTTTGCATACCACATCAAGCAAAGGGACCCCAAATAAAATCATAATCTTAGAGTGGTGTAATTTAATTGGTGGATGGTGACTAGCAGTGGAATCCAGGATGCGCATTTCGTCCTATTTGGGACTCGTCATCTGGATGTGCCATTATTGTTATATTTTATGTGTGTGTGTGTGTAAAATCTAACCTTGTGAAATTAATTCTGTCTGTTAAACACGTTAATTATTTTTGAGCAAAAACAAGAAGAGCACACTGACCAAGATAAAATGACGTTATTCTACTTCCTTAGTTCTGGTCAGATGTACACAAACACAAACTATGTAATATGAATATACAAAATATTCGTACACATCAACTTGAAGGTAGAGGCAATTCAATTCACTTATGAATTGGAAAGTCAAAAAGAGGAGTTTCCAATGTTAGATTGTGGTGATAAAAAAGGAAAGGAGATGGGAAGTTCAACACTAGTGTTTACAGGAAACTCCGCACATTCAAACAGATATTCGGATCTCCAATCATCCCATCCTATGTCAATAAAAAATAGGATTGATGAAATGTTTAAGTTATAGAGCACGAAAACTAAGTAGTAACAAGGAAAATCTAAGACAGGAAGTGAGGAATATGAGAGGAGCTTTGAAACTTAACAGTTACCCTGATAAATTAGTCAGAAAGTATGTAGGGAAATGTAAAAAGAAAATGGTAATAACAGTAGTGATAGTGATAATATTATTAGTGACGACATACATGTCAAACATACCCAAGATAATGACGACACCAACAATCAGGAATCTAAATCATCAGTAGTAATTTCATACGAAGAAGGAACCTCGGAAACCTTACGCATAATTCTTAACAAGGCAGGAATAAAAGTGGTATTCAAACCCACAAACTCAATTAGAAACAAGCTTTGTCGGTTAAAGCATCCTGGTAGTGGAGCCTTTAAAACAAAAATATTTAGTTTATCTAATGCCCTGCCTGTAATGATTTTTAGGTGAAATATATAGATCAGAGTAGTAGAACAGAGGCAGTCAGACTAGCCGAGCACAAAAACCTAACAAAATCTAGATTAGTTGACCCGAATAAGATAAGAAATCTGAAGAATAGTTCAGTCAGACAAAGCACTACATGAGATTACACACAACCATACAATAGGATGGGATGGGATAAGATGATAGTTTTACAATCTATTGTAACAGGGTAGAGGGAGCAGGATTTAAAACGGTAGCTTTGTTTTTCAAATCAACTGCGAACACGTGTAATAGGAATGATTCAAAACTTGTCCCAGACATCTGAAAAATTCAACTACCCCTACGACAAATAGGAGAGAACAAAGAAAACTATAAAACTCAAGTTTATAATTGATATGATTATGAACAATAAATTTTGTTCGAAACGTCATCCAGTGAATAATACTGTTTCACCTTGTGATTTATCTAATAAACAAATTAATATGGAACTGTAGTTATTCATTATAAAGTTGATGGAAATTAATATCGTGTGATTAAGTAGCATAATGGAAAGGAAAAAAAGTCGGTGTTGAAATGGTTAGTACGTATAGAAATAATCAAGAAACATTTTAGAATTACAGATGAATGTTACGCATTGTCTAAAAGATGACTAGAAATCGTACTACTAAGCAAATTTGCACCTATCAGACGCAATTTTCTTATAATATGTTGAGATATTCAGTGACAAACCCTTCATGTATTCGGTGCATTAAAATCGTTTAGAATAATAGAAGTTCAAGAGAATTTCAGGTTGTATCATTTATGTATCATTTAGGCGATTAGGGTTAAACGATTACACCAAAATACATGCATTCAAAAGAAAATATGCTTGGTAAATATACTTAACGTTATTCAGCTGAGTCGTTTTGTTTACTTTGTTATTTTATTTATGTTTTTATTTTGACAGTATGATTTCTTTTGAATCTATTCTCTTAACCAGACCCCTTTGTGGCCTCTGCTCAGGTAAATTATTCGAACAGAAAATAGTTGTACTGTTGATTTTACATCAATATTCAGTTTGTAATATTCATCCATCAAGAGCATCTACAGCTCGACATGTCACCTCCATACACCATTTGGACTCTTAATTTCGAATTTTTGGACAAAAGAACATAGATGATTGTTTGGAAGTCTGAAAAAATTGTTTCATCTTCTCCTCTTGTTCTTCTCATATCTCAAACTCAATAAGTAAATAATTCTATAACACTTTGATAACACCAGTTCTTATCCGATGACCAAAGTTAAGTTATGTTAGGCCATGTTAGTATTTACATGGATGATCGGCTGGGAGTACCAGGTTTTTAGTGCGTCGGTGATTCAGTGATAGGACATTGGTTAGCTTCTCATGTAGTACGGGGTTCGATCTACAGACGATACATTTCCGAACTTCACTTAGTTAGGACTAAGGCTGGTAAATAGGAATGGTTTGATGTGAGGCTAGCAACCTCATCCCGTAAAAATGAAACCAATGCTACTAGAAATTCTAAGCTCAAACCTGAAGCCCTATGTTCCACTGGGAACGCAAATAAAAAAATGAAATGAATTAACATTCATCTGTAATTCTAAACTGTTTCTTGATTGTTTCTATACATACTAACACTGACTTTTATTCCTTTCCATTATGCTACTTAATCACACGCTATTAATATCCATCAACTTTATAATGAATAAGTGAAGTGTTTGAATATTTTGTATATTGATATTACATTGTTCATGTTTGTACGCAGTTGACCAGAAAAAAAGAAATATACTATAACGTAATTTTATCCTCCTCAGTATGTTCATCTAGCTTTAATCAAGTTTTTCATGGAAAAGAATTGTATGAAGTTTCTGAAATAATTCGCTTAGTGACATTAATGTTCATAAAACAAGATATTCAAATGGCAGTGCTCTATATGCTTTCATTTTTGATGCTGATTTACGTCAGTCTACCAAGAGAAACTCAGTGCTTTGTAACATCTTGCACACAATATGTTTTTTCCTCTAATATATAGGACAAATATATTCATCATTGTCGCAAAAAATGAGATAAATCCTACTCTATAAAAGACAAAATAATTGAGCAATGAATATCCTTTTCGATAATGACCTCTTCTGGCTCTACAATTATATATATGTTTATATACATAGAATATTCTAGATTAGTAGTCAATAACAATATGTGTTTTTTAAATAATACTGATTTGTAAAGTAAGATTAATGGAATTACAGTTCATTAAAGATGCTTGAATTACAATAATAATAAAAATATAAGGGCAAACAGAATATCCATGATAAAGGAAATTAAGGAAATTTTCACAAAATTGAGGATTATTCAAACCTAGATGGCCAAGGTGAGGATAATTTCTGAACTAACTTCTTTCGGACGCACAAATTAGGCTTCTTAATATGGGTCCCAACAGCCACAACAATACTTAGTAAACTAACTCTTAAGGCGAAGTTAAGATTAGTTGCTATGCGGTAAATGACTCTGAAAGCCTGGTTAGCATCAATCGAGTGTTCCGTATCCACAAGATGAGATAGAATAGCGCTGTGATGAATAGATTTTGTTTGTCCTTTGCTTAACCATGCAGGATGATGTTCGGAAATTCGACGGGAAACACGCCTAATTCTACGGCCTATGTAACTGGCTGCATAGGAGCAGTTAAATTGGTAGATACACGTGGAAGAGTGAAAACGATTATCCAGAAAAGTTTATTGATAAGAATATGAATCTAAAATCAAAGCAGCCCAAGTTACCAACAGTTCCAAAAAAGGCCTTATTCTTACAAATTCAGTTCCACGGGGACAATATCAGCGAGATACTAACACAACGCCTGAGAAATGCGATAAAAAGAGCATTCCCTGCTGCTGAATTACTCTGTCTTCAAAATCACTCCTCTTTTGCGTTCGGGAGTAGAAGATAAACTGCATAATTTTGCCTCTTCCATGTGTATCTTATATTGTTATCGATTATTATTCTAGAATATTCTATGTATATCGACATGTACATAATTGTAGAGCCAGAAGAGGAAATTATCGAAAAGGATATTCTTTGTACAATTATTTTGTGTTTTATACATGTCTGAATGAATATTTTCGCTATATTGAAATTCTATTCTGTAAGTTCGTTAATAATAACTCCTTAATTCAAAATAATATTTTAAAACATAGTACAGTATTTTCAGAGAATTGAAACTAAGAAATATCTACTCTTCGTACAGGATGTTCAAGTAAAACTGTATTTTATAGTACATCGTGTGACTCTGTGTTGTTCCATTTAAGGCAGTATCCAGTCGTCTACGATATTCTGTCCTCATTTCTTTTTAGAAGTATTCTGTGTTACAACAGGACTAAAAGCATGCTCAA